GAGAGAAGCGAATTATTGTAATGATAGAGAAAATGAGAGGAACCAGCCGCAGCGTCAGTAGGCGTCAGTAGGATGTGCTCGCCTCCTTGTTGGGATATCACGTATGTGTGGGGGCAGGAAGGTCCGATATTATCTAACCCGTCTGTGCAACAGCGCTATCGATTATCATGTAATTATCTAATTCGGTACTGAACGTTGAACTTCGCGAGTATTGCGTTGTGCTTGGAGGCGACTGGCACTTTTTTTCAGTTTGACGGCTTGGAGTATCGAATTTTGAAGCTATCGAGTGATATTGGATATTTTTGCGGGTGCTGGTTGGTGTAACGTGAGCGTCCTTGATGAACAGTTTGGAATTATTTGCAATTTTGACGTAAAATTGTATTTGGGGAGGAGGAAATGGTCTGTGTGTGGACACTAAAGCTGGCAGAGCGGGGTAGTACAGTAAAACAAGTAGATACAGTTCACAGTTGTAGATGTGACTGTGTTTGAATATGATTTTTGATGCGTGTTTATTTGTTATAATAACTATCGAAGAGGGATCGCAATTGTGTTATGACATCTTATTTACATTATAGTTCGCGAAGTTCTATTATTTTGACCTTTTTCATTATTTACTGAAATTATGTGTAGTATAACTCAATTATAAATATACAACTATTAATGAACATAGTTGTGAATAACTATTTATGAATATTTTTGATTTGCTCAATCGTCAATAGGTAAAATATTTATATTTATTTTATGGAGAAAACTCAGACCCTTCGTTAATGATTTCCAGGGAACTAGCAGTGACATGTAGTTAAGTCACTCCTCATAGTTCTCTTTATGTTTGTCGTTACCGTGGATACTCCGCGTTAACAAATAATATAATATTAACACACACACACACACACACACACACACACACACACACACACACACACACACACAGGTACAGGACCCGAAAATCTTTATCCTAAAAAATTATCATTTGTGAACTAGTTACATGCAACTTCTATTTGCCTGGTATGTACAATCTGTCCTCACACTAAATGCACGGCAGTGGGTGGGTGGCAGTGGACCCATCCAGTGGGCGATGGTGGGACCTAGACCTATTCAGTGGGCGGCAGTGTTCCTCAGACCCATCCAGTGGGCGGCACTGGACCCCAGACCTACCCAGTGGGCGGCGGAAGCCAGATCCATCGAACAGTGCAAGATTATAAGACAAGTCTGTAATCATTACTATGAAGTCCTACTCTCCCGCCAGGGTTAAGACGACCTCCTCCTCTGCCATCAGGGTTAAGACGACGACCTCCTCTGCCATCAGGGCTAAGACGACGACCTCCTCTGCCATCAGGGCTAAGAACTGACATTACTAGGGTGGCAAGGGGGGATAGTCTTCCTCTTGCCGCGTAAGGCATGGTAATGTGGAGGGCTCAGCACCGGATTATTGAAGGCGCCCACCGGAGAGTATGCTAATGTGAACAGCTTTCAAAGTGGATGCGTCAGCACCCCTGCCCTCGGAGTGCACCGCTGTGTCCTGAACCCCGCCCACCTTGTGCTGTACCCCGTCCACCTTGTGCTGTACCCCCCCCCCCTTGTGCTGTACCCCGCCCACCTTGTGCTGTACCCCGTCCACCTTGTGCTGTACCCCCCCCCTTGTGCTGTACCCCGCCCACCTTGTGCTGTACCCCGCCCACCTTGTGCTGTACCCCGCCCACCTTGTGCTGTACCCCGCCCACCTTGTGCTGTACTAATGCCGACTTTTTGACTGGGTGACTGACGATCAAACAGGCCGACAATGTGCGTACAAGACTTTGACTTTGCCACTGTGCAGTTTTCACTCAAGTCTTGTTGTGTGTGTATATATAAAACACAAACAGGAGGCGAGTGGGCGCACCTACAATGAGCTGCTTGTTATCTTGCAGTGTTAAACACCCAGGTGGTAGGAGAGAGAGGTTATAACGAGCTGGAGGTAAACATTGTAGGATCATTACTGGCAGACGAGCCTCTGCGGTCGCCTGCTTCCCACCTCCACAACTACACATCCCCACACACACCCCCACACACACCCCCACACACACACCCCCCACACACCCACCCACACACACCCCACACACATCCCCACACACACCCCCACACATTCCCCCGCTCTTCACACAACACATTCACCCACTTCGCAGATTTTGTTCTCACTATTTCGCATTGCTTCATTTGAGTCTAGCCTTCTGTCCTTCTCAGTCTTTCCCTTAGGCTCTCCTCAGCCTAATTTAGTAATTTTTCAGTCTTTCCCGTCTACCATACCTTCCAGCAGTGCCCGTCTACCATACCTTCCAGCAGTGCCCGTCTACCATACCTTCCAGCAGTGCTCTCTGGCCCTCCTGCTCATGGGTTACACCTCTCAGTCGGTCCAGTAGATGGCCTCGAGTTGCTTTTATTAACCTGAGAATCTATATATATAATTTTGTCTTCAATTTTGTTGCTTTGGTATACATAATAAAAGGGTGAACATGACTTGAGTAGGTCAGGGGCTATCATAGAGTTGATTGTGGCTTATCAGCTTGAGTGACAAGCTTCGTGACGGTAGTTGAGCTGGTGTTTGCGGGGGGGGGGGGAGGCTCACTAGGTCAAAGGTCACTATAACACAGGTACTGTCAAAATATATGTGATCCTATATGTCTTCTCATTAGCTGGAATTTGAACAAAGGATTTTATGGACTTGGCACCAGGGTTTAGGGGCGACGGTGGTGACCAGTGCTGCTGCCAGCGTCTTATCTTATCTCGAGTTACTACATTTTCGCCAAGTTGTCTTGAAGAAGTCTGACGAGTGACGACCACCTAAACCATTTCTCTCATGAATGGTGGTAAACTTGACTCCTGGAACGCGCCACGAATGTGTCTCATCGTCTTCTCAACTTGATGGCAGCAAAGGAGAAGTATTGCTGACGTGTCGGGCTCCTCGCTTAAGTGTTTGTGGATATTCACGTTTTTTTGACATTCACAAACACGAAACAAGTTTTACAAACAGGAAATATTGTAAAATGAGTATATTTTGATCATTTAAATAAACATTTTGATCATTTAAATAAACATTTTGATCATTTAAATAAAAGTAACAAATACAAGCATCGTGATACACAAATGGCTTTGTAATTCTGTGTTGGTTTGTGTGAGTCTGCGGCCTGGTGGCTTCATCTATTTTGATAACAAAATATATAATTTCTCTGTACGATATTTATATATGCTGATTCAATTTTTGGCGTGTATTGTGCAGTGGGGAAGGACACTTTACTGAGGGGCAAATTCTTCCACCCAATCTTTTAATGGCTGTCGTATAGAATTTAAAATAAAATTTCCATTAATATGTCTGTTAGGACTCTTCAAATTCTTTGTATCCCGCATGTCCAAGGCTGTCAAAGAGAGAAGTTTATATATATATATATAAAAAAGTAACCATAAAAAAATTATTAATGATAAAAGTAATGATGTTAATAATTATCATTTAATTTTAGATTAACAGGATAATATGTTGTGTTAAATTGTTCTCCACAAAATTCGAGTCATGGCTTAAGTTCTTTTCTTCGCGTAGCGGTGAGAAATATTTCTTATCCCGGGTCACGAGCACACAAGTTTACACGGTGGGGGAGGAGCGTCCTGTTACCAGTAGTGTGGCCCATCACTCCACCCGCTCCTGCTCCATCACCAGACACTTCCACCATTGTTGTTGTTATAGATTCAGCTACTCAGAACAAGTTCCAAGTAGCACGGGATATGGTGAGCCCGTAACTTACCTGGCACAGGAGCGGGGCAAGAAGCACGGGCTATGGTGAGCCCGTAGTGGACTTACCTGGCACAGGAGCGGGGCAAGAAGCACGGGCTATGGTGAGCCCGTAGTGGACTTACCTGGCACAGGAGCGGGGCAAGAAGCACGGGCTATGGTGAGCCCGTAGTGGACTTACCTGGCACAGGAGCGGGGCAAGAAGCACGGGCTATGGTGAGCCCGTAGTGGACTTACCTGGCACAGGAGCGGGGCAAGAAGCACGGGATATGGTGAGCCCGTAACTTACCTGGCACAGGAGCGGGGCAAGAAGCACGGGCTATGGTGAGCCCGTAGTGGACTTACCTGGCACAGGAGCGGTGCTGGCACTTCCACCATCACAACTGTTAGTTATATTATAATACAACAGGCTCAGCAAGGCTAGTAGGCGGGGCATAAGGAGTCACACCTCACTACCCTTTAGTTACTGATAGGCAAGTACTGCCGCCTCCTCTTACTGCGGGCTCACCATAGCCCGTGCTACATGGACATTTCGTTCTGAGTAGCTAAATCTCAAACAACAACAACAACAGCCTCCTCTTCCTTCTCTTTCTCTTCCTTTCCGTCGCCGTCTTCGCCGCCGTCTTTTCCTTATTTTTCTAGCTAATAAAGTGGAATTGTCTCATTTTCTCTCCGCTCTTCCTTACGGGGTTTTAATGAAATCCACATTTTCCCCATTTCTCTCAGCAGCGCATTTTTCTCTTAATTAACTTTTTTTTTTTTTACATGTGATAATATTTTCTTTGGTTGATATATTCGTTGTTTGCTTATGGCTGTAATCTTTTTCGTAGTGGAGGGGAAATTTGTTGCGTAGTTCACGGTTAAATAATTTATCTGGTTTTATTATATAATAATAATAATAATAATAATAATAATAATAATAATAATAATAATATAATTTATAACTTATACATGAGAACATTGTACACTTGTTAATTGTAATTATACATCAATGATATACTGTACAGAGGCTCTAATACAGAGTAAGTGGCCTAGGATATGTTCTCACTGTCCAAGAGGCCTGGTCGACGACCGGGCCGCGGGGACGCTAAGCCCCGAGAACACCTCAAGGTAACCTCATGGTAAGGAGGGAGCCAGTGTTGATTATTTCCTGTACAAGTCGACGTGGCTAGCCATCATTGTTCATCATCATTATAACTTGTCTCTTCTTGCGTCTAACTGCCTGTTCATTTGTTCACTACAGATTCGTGACTGGTTAACGCTGATGGAACAGATGACTCGTCAGCAGACTGTGGTGGTGGGCGACGCTGACGACATCCGCCAGCTGACGGAGAAGCAGAAGGTCAGTCTATATTATTATTATTATTATTACGCACAGAGATCACACTAACGTGATGCATCAAATGAACAAATCCACAAGGGCCGTGACGAGGATTCGAACCCGCGTCCGGGAGCATCCCAGACACTGCCTTAATCGACTGAGCTACGACAGGGTAAAAAGAGTTGAAACCGAAGTTCTACTGAACTTACTGGATCCCGTAGCCTCTCCGAGGCACAAACCAGGGTTTTACACAACTCCCCCCTGCACCCGAGCTATGTCAATAGGCATATGTTTGGGGTGCTGCCGGACGCAGGTTCGAATCCTCGTCACGGTCCTTGTGGATCTGTTCATTATTATTATTATTGTTATTGTGTAATCTTCAGGATGTTGCTTGACTGATTGTGGGGCTGTGTTGCGAGGACAATACTCGTATGGCTCTAATTGTATCGGTCTGATTGTTTTGTGTAGGCCTTAGGCCTCGCACCAGGTACTCGAACTGGTTTGGTTTTTCATCGCCCATATCCAACTGTTTCAGTTTTGTCCACAGTTATGTTGCTAGTGACTGTTCGGTGCAGAATCCCTCAAGAGAGAATAAAGCTGCTTAACATTTTGCTTATGTAACTTGTTCATAAATATATCTCGGTATACTTAAGACACTAACTCATTGTACGAGTTGGCATTTGTAAACAAAGATGCCAAGACACGGGTCAGTGAGCCCAACAGCTAGAGCTCGTTTTTGTCATTTGTTATCACTATCAGAATGATGGGTGGACAGGTACTGAGACGCTGCTAACCAATCCTCAAACACCTTCCGTTCGTCTCTAGTCCAGAGAGCCGGGATGAAACAACCTGGAGACAGTATCGAGGCAGTGCGATGGGATCAAACTCTCTCGGCCTCAGGGTTTTCTCAGAAGCAACACGTCCCTGTGATGTCAAGCCTTCCATCACTGTCGTGTGCGTATGCACTCGTGTGTGTACTTGCATTTACGGACATGTGTGCAATTTCCAGATCTGCAAAATTGCCATAGAGTTCTCGATAGATTCATTTTGCAAGCATTATTTTGAAATTCTTTTCATTCAGGTTCTCTTTATAATTTGTATTAATATTTGATAACTCCAAATTGTGATATGGTTTCCGTGTTTATTAAGAAAAATGATTGCGTTTTGTAGGCTTGGTATGCCGAGTATTGCTCTTGTGGCAGTCTTCCATCGGCTAAATAAAATGTGATGTCAGTATTATGTTTAGTAATGCAAGCGTAGGTGTCCTGTGAGCATTACTGAGCTGGCCCTCGTGGTCCAGGTGTGGCCCTCGTGGTCCAGGAGTGGCCCTCGTGGTCCAGGTGTTGCCCTCGTGGTCCAGGTGTGGCCCTCGTGGTCCAGGTGTGGCCCTCGTGGTCCAGGTGTGGCCCTCGTGATCCAGGAGTGGCCCTCGTGATCCAGGTGTGGTCCTCGTGGTTCAAGTGTGGCCCTCGTGGTCCAGGAGTGGCCCTCGTGGTCCAGGAGTGGCCCTCGTGGTCCAGGAGTGGCCCTCGACGTCCAGATGTAGTCCTCGTGGTCCAGGCTGTTTCCTTTTACCCGAGAAGGGCTCTTGTGGTTCGAGAATTGTCTTTGTGTCAATTAGGACAGTTCATTCTCAATCCAGATGGTGTAGGAAGGCTAGTGTGGCCCACTCTCGGTTTCCTTGACGCAAAAGTGACTCTCTTATTATACGAGTGGCCTTTGTAGTCCTTGAGTGGTCCTCGTGTCTTATCTGTCATCCAAGATGGAGGCTGTCGGTGGTACGACAAGGTGGCCCGTCGCCTCGTCTGAGATCACCTGTTGTCACGAAACACAAAGTATAATGTGATTTATCGTTTAAGTTTCTCGGTTTGTGTTTATTTTGTACAACCTGTGTTTTGTGTAACCTCCTGTGTTTGTGTAACCTCCTGTGTTTGTGGTGTGTGAGCTCTAGTCCTTGGGGCCTGCCTCGTACTGTACTAATAGTTCGGTATGACACAGTATGCCTCCTTATATCCTCCACTGGTGAAATCCATCGCCTCATTACCCTCTCAATAAAAATATTCTTATATTTTATATGATACTTTTGTGTATTGAAGTTAGTGGTATATGTGGTCTTGACTTGCTGTAAGACCTAACAATCAATCTGCTGCTGTCTACTATGCAGTTAGGTTATGTAAATGATGTCGTGTTATTCCACTTGTGCTTAGACGACCCGGAAGACAGTTGAATGTAGCTCACGATGACTCTTTTTCACACCAAAAGGATAACAGACAGACTAAGAGTGTTCTTTGCTCTAGGCATGCGCCTCTTGGTCGCTTTGGAACACTGTTCATTTTGGTTTGTCTCATTCCGTTGGGGGATAAATCAGAGATGGGAAACCCAACTCAAAAGTTGTACAAATTTTGTATTAATGCGTCACTAATAACCTTGTTGTTACGCGCCCAGATATATTTATTGATAATTATAATCGGTGGTTACAAGTCCAGCGTGCTGTCCGCTCGGCCGACCGGCTCCCTACGACGACGTTTCGGTCCGTCCTGGACCATTCTCACAATAGCATAATAGCATGGTTGGCATAATCACAACATGCTGTGAGACCGACAAACTAAAATAACAATAATGGCTCGTCGGTACTCTTCCTGTCACCCGTGTCGGCCACCTAGAGAGCTCGACAACGGCTTCTGCAGCTATTACTCTTCAGCTTAAACTATCAGCACATTTTCTCTTTCTGATTTCCGTAGTAAGCCTGAGTCTACAGTGGTCACTGTGACGAATACTTCTTAGAGGGTCTTGTATGTCGTGTTTGTGGTCCTTGCTCGAGCCTGCTCAGAGTTTTAGCATAGCTCACTTCTCTCAAGTTCAGAGGTCAGGCTGCTGATGGATACACATGTTCACCATCTTGGCGTATGTCGCCGATGATTTGATGATTTGTGCGTATACGCACACGCGTGCATGTTTGGCGAGGGGGGGGAGCGGGTGGGGTGAAGGTGATTGTGAGAGTTTGAGAGAGAGAGAGAGAGAGAGAGAGAGAGAGAGAGAGAGAGAGAGAGAGAGAGAGAGAGAAATGTAGAGGAAAAACAGGAAAGAGGTGATGGAGGAGGAAGAGGGGGGGAAGGGGAGGGGGCAGTGACCAGCTTGACAGGGAGGCGCGCCGCCTCCTCAAAGAAGGAAATTGAATTCTCCTCTTATTTTGAGCGGTTCCCAGGGTGGTACTAAGCTTGTGGTGTTTGTGTCACCGAGAGAGCTTGGTTTCTTTAGAGACTTGTTGCCGGGTGTTTATTATGTCTTTATTTTCTCCTAAACACTGACTAGATTTCGAGCGTCAGCTCCAAAGCTCCGCCTTTCGAACCAATAATAATAATAATGCTTATTCAGGTAAAAGTACATACATACAAGATGAGTTACAAACAGAATCCTGATGTATATACAGTATTTGTATTTTTAGTCGCCTCGATGTGTTTGCAGAGGTCGAACGCTAGCTCCTGAGACCCTCTTTTCGTGTTATTAGCCGTTTAGTACAATGATAATACATATAAGTTTACCTTAAAGTTTGCAATAGGTTACGTTGAGGTGGTTTTTATGATCACGGTAGGAATCACAGCTCTGTTGATCAGGTGGCCAATAAAGATACTTATCCAGTTTCGTTTGAGAGTTAATAATGCCCTTATATTTGAGAATCTAGGTTGCTTCAAATTTAATGCTGTATTAACTATGTGCTTTCCTTTATGCTCTCTTGATGCCGGTGGGTCACGTGGTCGGATGACCCCGGGAGGCATTTGAGGGACAACTCAAGTTACTTTTCAAGAGGATGGATAAGAGACAGACTAAGATTATTCTATTATGAGTTTATACGCCTTGTTGTCCTTTCAGTCCAGAGAGCCTATTTCCTCCACTGTGATTCGTGCGCGGTTTTGATCCAAGACTGAATCCGAACGGTTTGTGACTATCTTATGACCGCGTTGTTGTACCGCTAGAGAAAGTGTTTATTAATCTCCCCGTTCGCATTTCTTTGTAGTTACTTGGACTTAGTTATAGTAGCTATTTGCTGTGTGTGTAATTACCTAAGTGTAGTTACAGGATGAGAGCTACATTCTCACTTAGTGTGTTCCAACTCTACCACTCTGTTTGCAAAAGAACATTTTCTAATATTTTTTTGGCACCTCTGTTTCCTTAACTTGAATCTGTATCCTTTTGTTCGTGAAGTTGCTGGGTGTGCGCGTTTCGTGCGTGCGTGTGTGCGGGCGTGCGGGCGTGCCTTTCAGTGAGGTCATTCACGTGCTTCCTTTGACAGTTAAGCAGTGTGTATAGCAAGCCAGCACCTCGAACACATTGTATTATCAAAATGTCAGAACATTTCGTTACGATGATTCTCTTTGTGTAATCCTAACTTTTTATATAGAAATATGCAATAAAATGACAGCAGTAATATTAATAATAAAATTATAATTATTGTTATTATTAGTAGTAGTACTAGTAAAAATGTATTTAAAATACAGATCTGTCCGCACCAAAAACTCACACAAATTCCTTCCCGGCCTCACAAAGACGCCAAGAGCGAGAAAAATCATATATTCGTAAAAGTTTGTCGGTAATGTTATGGAGTTCCCAGTACACCTCCCCCAAATTTGTGAAGTCGGCAAGGAAAATGGTCTAGATGAGAGGTGGCCAGTGAAGGTGGCGGGGAGAGGTGGGGGAGAGGTGGCGGGGATGTTGGGGGGATGTTGGGGAGATGTGGCGGGGATGGTGGGGGAGAGGTGGCGGGGATAGTGTAGTGACAATCCATCACTACATGTTGGTACTTTCGATCAAAGAGTGACTAGAAGTACAATTATTCCAGGAGGATGGCTCGTGGTGGCACAGGGTCGGCAGGCCCACCTCAGCTGTGGTGGTATTATTGTGATAAGTTGACACCTGGGCCTCCTATTCCCCCCCCCCCCCCCCTGCCTTCCTCGTGTAGTAATGACCATCACGCGTGTGTGTGCCCCTCACACTGTCACACCACTCTATCTTCCCCCAAACACACACTACCTACACACACACACACACACACACACACACACACACACACAATCTGTTGATTGATGGTTGAGAGGCGGGACCAAAGAGCCAAAGCTCAACCCCCGCAAGCACAACTAGGTGAGTACACACACAAAGTTAACGCACACGTCCCACTCCTCACAAACTCACCCGACATTCTTCAGGACTTGAGTTCACATGCCTCTTGATATTTTCATTCTCATCACACACTCCGGCCCCTGGTGCACATTTTTCTTCCTCCGCCTCCTCTTCCTGATTCCTTCCTCTCTCTCTCTCTCTCTCTCTCGCTCTCTCTCTCTCTCTCTCTCTCTCTCTCTCTCTCTCGCTCTCTCTCTCTCTCTCTCTCTCTCTCTCTCTC